ATTCAAAATTTAATCAAACAGCTTTACTATCAATAAACTGGACATGAAAATGTAGTTTGAAATTAAAATTTTTATTTTATTTAAGTATTTGAACTTCTTATTTCCAAAACATAATATTTTAAGAATTCTTCATCTTAATGTGTCAAGTAACACAGCTGAGCTCTGATTTTTTCATTTAGAAATGTTATAACTTTAAAATTATGCTGCTGTAGTTTCCAACCAATTAGAAACACAAGCTATATAAAATTACAAAAAAAATCTATAATTTGCACATCCTACCTTCTTAATTTGCAGAGATATCAATAAATCTGTCAAATGTTAAACTACCAGAGAAGCCCCCCCCCCCAACTTTTGAGATCACCAGCTAAGCAACCTTACATAGCTTACAATCAATACAAAAAGCAGATTCTCCTTATGAAGCTGACTATTGATATTTCAGTTCTAACAGTTGTTAGACATTTCTCATTCAATCATCATTATTGTGTTACTCCGATTACATAACAGGAATTTTTTAACATATTTATATTTTTCAACTTATGGCTTCTGCTATGGCTTATTGCTTTGTTGTCACAAGGGTCACTGCTCCAGTGTATATAAGGTAACATAATAAAACTGCAGAAGTAAACAGATGTGAAAAGGTTAAGAAAAACTAGGTTTTGCTGTAACTTTTAATGATTACTAAAAGCTTGCCAAATTTTGTGAAAATACACACAGTAAATTCAGTTACAGTATTTACATAGTTTCTCAGTCCAGTGTCAGTCAAGCTGATCAATCTGCTCTCAAAGAGTTAAACATAAATATAACTATATAACTTTTTTGTAGGGAAACTTCATGTTAGAATAATGCTGACTTTACAACTATATTTCATGCAAGTAAACTTTTAGGAAATAAAATACACTGTCGTAATCATACTGTCATGATAGAAAAGAGTGTTTAGTTTTAGATATTATTGATTAATTTATTTTTGTGAGTGAATATTTTATTATCGTTTAGTTTATAATAAGAGTTAAAAGTAGACGATTGTAGAAAGTTGTGTTTATAAGTCATTGATGTTGAGACTATTGAATGTCGCGTGCAATACACTGACCTTGAGAATATACAAAGCAGACAGACGATAGCAGAAGAGAGTAAAGTTACTGGCAAGGAAAAGTTTGGCGTGAAGTTATGTACCATAGAAGTGATAGGTCTAACATTTAGTATGTTAGAGTAAGGTTAACAGTAGAAAAGGAGATAAGCAGAATAATTTATCCCATCAAAGCATAGTTCTAAAGTAATTGAATCAGCCTGGGTGCACTTTGACAAAAGGAACAGAGGTTATTTAGAAGAAAGAAGACCAAATGATTATCGGTAACTCAAGCCACAACTGTAAGTGAATCACACACAGAATACTAGTGCGATAGTAATAGAGAAGATAGTTCAGCTTGTCAACTGAAATTCTAAAGTAACTGAATAGGCCTAAGTGGACTTTTGACAACAAAAAGAGAACTATGTATGTAGTATTTATGATATGCCTATATTATCTATAGTGTTGAAAAATTTGTTGTACATACGTTTAACTTCTTCCGATTATTTATATTATTTCGAAAATAAGTGAAGTGAGTGCTGTTAATTTATCGTCAACAAGTCACAGACACCTACTGTAGAAGAATCCTAGGCCCAACAACAACACAGTATATATTTATACTATTAAGAACTACAAGTAAAAGCCTTTTATTTTGACACTTGGCAAAAGACTTATATTATTAAACTCTGACACATACCTTTTGTGAAGAACCTCCCAACCAGCCTCGGTCCCACAAGGCCTTCACTCCTGTTGGATCTTCATCTACTTCATCACTGATAACAGGTGGAAGTCTAATCTAAATGGAAGGAAGAAAAAAAAGCTCTTCAAAAACTTCATGTCACACACAAAATAATTTTCATAATAGTTTCCCTTCTTGAGAGTTTGTCTGTTTTTGGGCAAAGCCACACTGGACTATCTGCTGTGTCCACCATGGAAATCAAACTCCAAATTTTAGCATTGTAAGTCCATAAACGTAAAGTTGTTCCACCAAGGGCTCCTTCTTAAAGAAATTTAACTACAATGGAAAACACTAGAAAGCTTTCAAACTAAATAGTCAGGTAAAATTGACATTAACTCTCTTACTACAGGCTTAGCTGAGTTGTGACCCAAATTCACCATTATAGTTTCCATACTATAACTTGTATGTTTTGTGTATCTTCACAAATTTTGCAAGCTTTCAGTAATCTTAAGTCTTTTGCAGACATAAAAATCAGAATTTTTAATTAAGTATTTTCACTGAAACCTTCTCCATAAATATATTGAGACAAAGTGTTGAATTTTCTTCATCCAAAAAATATCAAATTTCATTTATGTAATCTCCAAAACATTCAAAATAAATTTCAAACTTTTTTCAGTTAAATTTTATATTTTATTTACCCTAACTTTATACAAGATCGGTATTTAAATGACTTCATAAGCACCAAAAATAAAATTATAATAATAATAATAACAAAACATCTAAATTACCCTTTTCTTTTTCTAAAATAACTTCAAATATTATTATTATGTACTTCACTCAATCTAACCTTATCTGAACTAAAAAGCTTCCAATTTTTTCATTTTTGTTACTTTTATAACAATAAATAAAGAATACACATGAAAACCAAGAAGTATATCACTTACCTGGGTCTTCTTTTTTGCTGACAACTGCTAATGAAAAGTAACACTACTTTTTTTTATACTAATGATACTACTGCATTAAATTTTGTATTTAATTAACTAATTCACCATAGAACACAGAATAATAACACGCAAAAAGCAGACAATGTCCTATAACTATCATAATTTGTCTGGCTTTCTAACTATCTGATAAGAGCCTTAAAAATACAGCTCATCATTGCATTTTTCATAGGAATAAAGTATGAACAGAAATCAAAAGTTATAATTTTCCTATACTGAAAAGTATTTGTGATAGATACTTACCTCTACCAAAAGATTAGCTATTCCTGTTCAGTGCTGCCCTCTATATGCAAACTTTTCTTTTTTATGCATGCCACAAGCCTTCCATACCGGAGAAATGTGGGGGAGGAAGGGTGGGAAGTGTGAGAGGAGGTAGTACATATCAGAAATACATTTTCAGTATAGGAAAATTATAACTTCCTATACGGTACTTACCCCCCCCCCCCCCCCACCACTCCACACAAGATTAGCTAGATTCTCACATTGATAAGGAGGGACAGAAGTACCCCATGAAAGTGTCCAAATGATACCTCTGAAAATGAGAGATTCAGATCCAAAGAAGGGAACTGTACCACTTCTGAGTCAGGTATACTCTTCGTTCAACTGTGGAATGTGTAAGATATAATGGAGGAAAGTGAAAGGAGTACATCTGAGTGGGAGAGAATGTGGCAGAAAAGTGATCCTAATCATAGAAATATACTGTAACTCAATACCACAATGAGAAAGGTGGGTAAACAAAGGATGCACCCCTAAGTGTAGAGTGGCTAGGGTGCGGTGGACTGTACTCGATAAGTCCACTACATACAAAACCTGCCTGTAGGGTACCAACATCTGTGTGAGGGTAAGATGAGGATTATACCATCTTCACCTCAAACCCAAGAACTGGGGGGATTGAGAACCACTCTGACTCCTGCGTATGACATGAGGATTAGCTGAGCTATCGATCCGGGAACTTGACATCTGGTATCGAAAGTGATCTTGTGGAACACCCCATCTCCACAGTGAGTGTGCAAAGCCATGGAAGATAAAGCATGAGTCAACATCACCAGACAGTGTGGATTTGGAGTTACAGAATACCTGGTCAGGCACCACTCGGCACAGATTGGGATCCATGGGATAAGTAAATAGAAAAAGGCCCCTGAAAAGAAAGTATGAATAAAAACTTACCAGTTAGAGCCGCACAGAAGTCTGAAGAATAGCCACAGGTGGTATATGAAACCCTGACAAAGAGAAAACCGTGATGTGATGGAGATAGTGGGAGAGGAATGTACTAGGTGTGGTCACATGCCTGATTGCAGAATCTCCTCCATTGGACAACAATGAAGAGAAGCAAGGGAAAATGTGAGGTGTCAGATCTGATAGAAGAACACCTGGAGCAAATTCTGGGAAAAATAGATCAATCAAACCAAAAGATGGACCCAAATAGTAAGGGTAGAAGGTGAAAGATCATGAAGGGAGGAGGATTGCCAGGGGATAAAACATCGGAAAAATGTACCCCACAAAGAAGCACTACAGGCAGTATAACAATGAAAATCCCTGACTGGGCACAGAAACCTATCCGGATCCAGTCAAGGATAAAGATGGGAAATGGAAGGAGGGGAAATAGGAGAAACCTTTGATGCATTATTTAATTAAATAAAAATTATTTTGTGCATTACTACCATTGGTATAAAAAATGTAGGGTTAAGTTAAATTCATTTAGATTTTTTTTGGTGGTTACTAGGTCAGTCGAATTGACTGATTCCATTTTGAAATAGGGTAGAGAAAATAACAGATAAACTATAAAGTTTTATGGAAAAAAACGTTTGAAATACGTTTAGGAATTTTTAGGGATTACATAAAGGAAATTTGAGATTTTTGAGATGAGGAAAAGTATTTTCAACTTTAACATGAAAATTACTTTGCACATAGACTATTCAAAACAAATATTCAATATATTAACAGACAAATCTTTTTTTTGTTTATTAAAAATACTTCACTAAAAATATTATTTTTTTTATATGTGAAAGACTTATAATGTTTACTGAAAGACTGCCAAATTTTGTGAAGATATACATACTATATTAAAAGTTAGTAGTATCAAATCTATAAAGACCTTGAATGAGTAGTTATGTGGTCGGTCAAATTGACTGAGCCTGTATTCAGAGAGTTAAACGTTAGAGAGAGAACTATTGTCAATTTGTCAATGAGGAGATGTGACAGTTAGGCATGGCAAAAGACCTAGGTCTGATTTTCTATTTTATGACTCTGTAACCAAATAAGATTGAAGACTATAAAATTTATGCTAAATTTACATTAAATTTCGTACTTCTTGGAGGTGTGGTAAATAAATTAGAAAAGAGATTATACCTAGAGAGGAAATTTCCAAATGTCACAATAATCATACTAGAGGAAATTGGGAATTTAAAAATATATATTGCCTTATAAAATTAAGAACTTGAAACCTGTATAATATTAACATTTGGATTATTAGCTATATTTTCATGCAAAGTTTATTCTATTCATATACCATGATAATAATGTACTTTAATTATATTTTGAATGTAACTCACTAAAATCTCATGACACGAGTAGAAAAATAATGCCTGTAGTGAGAGGGTTAAAGCTGTAATTTGGTGACTTTCTGCTTACTAATCTACGTTAAAGATATCTAATGTAAGACAAAGGCATGAAAAATACTACATAGCTGTAACATAACTATTTTGTAACATTAAATAATTTGCAAAAACAAAGACTTGATTTCACCCCAAAGAAGACAGTGGTATGCATTACTTTATGTGATTTGTTTAAATACTGTTAAAGAAAAACATAAACAGCATATTACAATCCATTGAAATATAAATAGTATCTTACTTTTTACTTAATTGAATTAGTTTGTTTATGTTCAAAAGAGCTCTCAGAACCACTTCACAAACAGATATAGTAAATTTGAAATAAAAACTGTTATCCAACTTCTAAGTTAGCCCAACAAATTATTTACTTTAGAAAACATAACATTCTATTTTTAGACTTGCATACAAGTGTTTAGGTTTGTGAATCTCTCAAGAAAATAGTTAAAAGTGCTGAGCCTAGTTTTGTGTATGTCAGAGAACAAGTTAAACAAACATTTATGGCTATGTTTAATACAATTTGTAATGATTCATCAAAACGAAAAGATATACTTAGAATAGAATAAGTCAATTTCAATATATTTTTTTGTATGATTTAGAAACAAATCAAACAATAAAAATTGTAAAATATCCTCATATTGCTACATTACCTATCATATCTAAAAATATTAAATCATGAACTAATCAGGAAATCTTATTTTTACATACCATGACCATATTTCCAAACTTATCAGCACCAGCAATGGTATCATAGTCAAGTAGTGTTGCAGTCGTCACCCAGCGTGGGTTGGTGTCATCGGCAAACACAATCAACTGATTTTCCTGACGCTTGTATCGCAAAAACTGAAAGCTATCCTGGGTATCTCCTACAATCACACGATTTCCCATGGCATGAATAGTGACAATGAAGTTGGGAATATACTGTACAAAAAAGTAATGAAACAGCAAACATATTTTTTTACAAATATAATTTATATAACTTCAATTATATATGGAAATATACCAAAGCTAGTGCTCATTTACACAGATGAGGTCTATATACTGTTGATTAAAATTAGCTTTTTCAAATAGGAACAGTACTTGTATTATTTCTATAAAAAAATTAAAACAGTTACATTAAAGCTCAATCCTCTCTAAAATACATTTGTCATAAGGCGAAACATGACTCATATATTTTAATTCTGGGAACTTGAATTTTGAATATCACATTACAGAATCAATTTCAATACTAGAAAAACAAAGGGTGAAAGAAAAGTAAACAGTAAAAGCTCTATAAGCAGCTTAAAGGCATTCAAATTTAAAACTATTATTGTGATGGGACAGAAAATACTGAAATTCAATGGGTAAATAGTGGAGATCAAACAATTAATGCATAGGTATTGGTGCTGATAATGACCTTATCTACATTTGTGATACAGACTACCACAGAACAGACAGCAAAAAATGAATTAATTTTGAAAATATCAAATTTTTTCATATTATTGGTATAGGTAGATAGCCAGATGCAAATATTAGCCAACTGTATTGTATTATCAGCAAAAACCAGCATCAGTGTATCTCAAATACACAGATTAGTGAATGACCTAGTTGACTCTAGTACTACAACAGAATATGGTAACTATCAGTGTAAAAGCACTTTCAAAGTGACTGTTTAACTATAAGCGTAAGAACAGTTTAGTTTCCAAGTCCAACTGAGTATGGATAATCTGAGACTGCATGCTTACAGCTAGACAAAAATATGCAAGTACAAAGTGGAAACTCTTTCGTCATATTTTATCAGACCTTCCAGGGACTTAAGAACATCAGAGGAAAGAATAAAATTAAATATGAAAACATCTATCTACCTCAGTTTGCCATGATCAAAACTACTATAATGAGTATAGTTTATGCAGAAATATAAGAACAAATCATAAAAGAACTTCTGATTCATTAATATACAAGTACAGCCTACCAAAAAAGCAGAATACAAAATGTGATGTTTTTGGAGTCATTTCCAAAAAAGCCCTGATATGGAAAAAGTTTTTATATACAAATTTCATCCATAAGACAACTAGCTGTAAAGAAGGCAGAATAAGTAAATTAATAAAAACTTTAAAGATGAATAAAAAGCATAAAAATAAAACTAACCAATGAAACATTATCAAAATCTAGCTGTAAAGAAGGCAGAATAAGTAAATTAATAAAAACTTTAAAGATGAATAAAAGGCTTGAAAATAAAACTAACCAATGAAACATTATCAAAATCTAGGAAACATGATTCTGATAACATCTTATGGACATGACAAGATAAATGATTGCCACAACAAAGAACTCCTTCAATACTCTGATATAGAAGCCAAACAAATACAGGCCAGGTAATTCATCATTTTTAGGACAAGGCCACTTGGCCTTGAATTTTCTCTCATTTTCAAGGGCATGAAAGCCAAAAATAAAAAAACAAAAAATTCACTGAAAGACATTAAGGCCACAGTACACATTAATGTTAACAGAATAGAAATGAGTTTCTCAGTTAGTTTAGTATATACAGGGGCTTGGGAAGCTGGCCTATATTTCCAGATTAAGTTTATCAGGTAGGTAAGTATTAACTTTAACCAATTAGAGTTGTGAAGTAACAGTACACCAGCTTTAAGATTAAAAAACGAGGTATCACGCTGATTTAAAATGTCCTGTGACCTTAATAAGATTCCTCCCGACCTGAAAATTACATACAGCTTTTAGGCACCCCTCTTGTTAATTTCACTAACTTTGAGAAGGATCACACAAAATACCTGGGATAATAGAATTTTAAAGGTTTCCAGAATTTGACTTTGGTGACCCTACAAATAATGAACAAAATTCAGGCATCTCTAGCCACTTACTAATTTATCCAACTCTGATATCCCACCATGTCTGACTACTTGACCAAGATTGACAAAAATCAGTTAAAACACTAGTCTCTTGATGGACAGACAGATAGATGGAAAAATACATTGCCATGAGATAAGGTCAACATTCTATTTCCAAACAATACTACTACTTGTATTTTTTTTGCATACTTTCTAACATATACTAGTGTTGAAAAACATTAATTATGCCTACACTACAGTAAAGCACATGGTCATAACCTATAAATCAAACATCATAACACATTGCACTGCACAACTCACTACTTATAATTCAGTAATGTTAACCCTAGCTAGCTAATGTAGTAGGCCTAAGCCTTTGGTGGGTTTGCACATGAAATTTATTGGAGCTAAATTATTGACATATCCATTTCCCTTCATTTTCTAAACATGAGGGAATTCTCAATAGCCATAGCACTTGAAATTATTTAGATAGGATTAAAGTAAATTAATATACGATACCTTTTATTCCTTTTTATTAGCTATATTTTTGTGGACCAGCAATACCAAGTGTTGGGCACATGTATACCCGATTAGAATTTATTGCTCATCAGGATCTCTACAAGCCTAACCTCAAATTGTAACTATTTTAGGCAAGATTAAAGTAAATTAATCTACAAGACCATGGGTGTGGTCATATACATCAATTGACAAGGTTTGACCTCCTGAGTCCAAAACTGTAATTAGATCTCAAATCAGTTAACAGATGACAGAGCTATGAGTTAAAGTATGTACTTGAAAAAAAAACAAAAAAACTGAACTATTCTATGAACTGCTTCATCCTGCAGCTAAAAATGTAATCTACATATCTACTGATGAAAAAAAAAGTTCCAATTTCTGGCACTTGGCACCACAGAAAAGTTTCATGGCATTCTCCCCCCTTAACTGGTTTCTTTTTCGGCATGATTAATGCAAGGAGAACTTGCAGTAATGCACTTCACTCTGACCAGCATATGTATGTGCTGACTTTGATTCTCACGTACTGCCGTCACTGTGAATCTTTGTGTTAGCTTTGCAGGTTTGTTGTTTGAGCGATAATTTGAACTGCTTGCTACTACTAAGAGCCTGTGGTACGATATGACTCAACAAACTGCACAAAGGTTTTACTGAAGATCAAAGCAAAAACTTCACTCCCTCCAGTACATGCATTTTATGTGATATATTATTCGTAACAAGGTAGCTTCTGTAGGTTATAAGTCAAATGTTTGTGATCACCAATGGTTTTCCTTTTCTGTGGCATGCAATCAAAATTTAAATTGTGAGGGCATGACAGCCAAAGGGATACAGAAGGGTGGCCACTGACTTTGGTGATTTTTTGAGGGCATATGGCCATTTCAAGAAATATCGTGGTAATTGCTGCTGTGAATTTCCTTCCCTGTAAATATTTCTGAAAAGAAAAAAATGCACTGAATCAAACTGTTAACTTTATCAGAACTAATATCTTATATTCTTGCAAAATCCTGCATATAACAAGGCAGAGGATCCATAAAATGCCTGAAGGAGTCTTGTTATTGTAGCAGTTTGGCAAGGAGTATGGGATTTGATTAGTTCACAGATATCAACAGAAAATTACATTTTTGGCAAATGCAGTGTTTAAGTTCATTTCAAAGAACTCAACCACATTGAGCAGGCCAAAGAAGATAATGTCACCTATCATGATCTTTGAATCGCTTTTGGACAACAGATGGTGAAAATGAAGCATTGTTGGTTTGACATGATAAACGATAATGTTCATGTGCAATATGGGTGTTATTTGCCCTAGTAAATGACACAATCCACAACTAAGAACATTTCCAATACCATTATAATACATCCAACAACTTATATTATTGAATCAGGATCATTTGTCTCCTGTAGTTGTCTTAATAATTTTACTCTGGCTTCAGTAAACAAAAAGATTAAATTTGAAACATCAGACCACATCATATACTTCCACTCAAAAACTCTCCACAGTTTGTATCTTAAACACCAATAGATGCATTCCGACCACAGATTAACAATTTTAATACTGGTTGACAACTGTCATATAGGAGTTTTTGTTATGTCTTTCACATGGTTGGTTTTAAATTATCTCAACTCTGGCCACTGTTGAAGGAATGGGTAAAATGGAACATGGCCCATCATCTGTTGTACTTTACAAATTTATAACATATGTTCCCTTAGTCAATCACCAATGATTGACAACTACACTTTTCCTATTGGCAGATGTATTCTTGTTATATTTTTGCTGATGATAGTCTGACAAATGTTGTTGAATAGCCAGTCAAACGTATGAATGGTTGTATATGACAAATATCCTTGAATGTCATTCAAACAAATGAATAATTGTATATGAGAAATATCTCTTAATGGTCATTTAAACAAATGATCTTCTTGTAGTGTCCACCTATCTCTATATAGTTTCCATCCAGTGCTGTGTAAATCTGATTGCATATTTATTGGCTAAAGCAAGGTCTTCTGCTGTGCATGGGACCTGGAGTTGTGGGCAGATGTGTAGATTTTGCATTATCTGCTTCTTACCAAAGTCATAGGCCTGCTGGAGTACCCTCATTTCACCATGATGACCCTAAATCTGCCAACTTGGGAACACAGATGACTGAGGACTTTCCAAATGTTCCAGTCCTTTTCCACTGCTCTGGAGAGATGCTCATGTTTGTGTGGAAGCTCTTGCAGGTGGGGCCTCCATAGTTCTTCACTCATGATCCATGCCATAGTGTCCAGTGTTTCAGTTGAGCCACAGAAACTATTTCATGATATCCTGTGCTTCTTTACTTTCACATGGCCATATAGAGGTCTCTACTGTCTTGCATCTGTCAAGTTCACTCTGATCTACTGGTGACTGCTCTCCTGATGTCTGATGGGGCAATTCCAACCAGCTTGTGATGATTCTGGGGAGATTCCTTATAATATTGTTCCAAGATCTAACTTTGATTTTGGTCTTTCTAATGTGTTATTTCTATGTTGCGTTCACAAATAAACAGGTGTATTGAAATTGTATGTGAGATCCTAATAAAATTGGCCAGCCAGTTTTTAAAATATAATAAAATTATGAATGCTGAAAAATAACCAACTTTATTGAAAGTCTTCTTACTGTCAATATAAACTAAAAGAAAAATTTATTCTTTTTAATAAATCATACACCAGGGACAATCACAAAATAATGAAAGAAGAAAAAAACAAAAATCTATATTAACATAGACTGAATGTATGTAGGTAATATATTTCAAAGATGTTCTCAAACAAAATTTCAGTAATAAGTTTTACAGTACAAAACAACTAAAAGGTATACAAACTTAATTATTAACACCTTATTAAAAACTTAATTCAACTTGGAAACTAAAACAAAAAGTATTTTAACATTACTTTTTAATCCATGATTTGCATAATCATTAAATTAATAAGTTTAACTGGCTTCAATTATGAAATACCTTGTTTTCACACTTTCTCAACATCTTCTTCTTCCCCAAGTCATAAATACGAAGCACTCGACCAACACCAACAAGGACACGACCTTGAAAGGGGCATATGGCTCCTGGAACTTCATCCACAGGTGTCGCATGAACAAGTTCCAGTTGTCGCCCTTCATCTACAAATTTATACACGTGGATACTACCACCATTGGACTGTCGAGGATTTAACTGGAAATCTTTAGCAATTCCCACCAGCAAAAATAACTCATCTCCATGGTTAGCAAACTTCGTCAAACAAATGCTGTGCAAAACATTTCACATAAATAATGTTTAACACTCATAACAAAGCCCTACACAATTTCAATAATCTAAGCACTAGGTTTTAGTTTTTAATAGCTGGAGTATTTCATGTTTTAATTTTAAAGAATCAATGATTATAATTTCACAGAATTGTTCCATCAACAAATTTTTATTGGTAAACAACCACTAACTCAGTACAAGTCAGTAAAGGAACATAAACCCAATTTTATAAAGAAGGGTTCATCTTAATTACAGAATAGAATCAATTTGTATTTCCCTAAGAAAGAAGAATGCAAAGAGCAAAAAATAAATATTATGCAGGTTTTAAACATTAAGTACGTTAATAGTAGAGATTGTGATTAAACAAAATAGCAGTCAAAAAAATCGTGTGTTTAACTCCTTTCTTATGGTGACTCTTTTCTCTGCACATTACAAGATTTTACTTAGTCACATTTAAAATTTAATGAAGCTATTTTATAACCATTGTTTGTCAATGAAATAAGCATTAAAATTTACATAATAGTTCATATATATAGTTCATAGTTTTATATTATCTAAGTTTTAAGTCCTTTATTTCAAACGAAACTTTAAAGAAAAATTCTCAAAGTTTTGTTTTATTCTCTCGTGATCTGCAAGTTCACAAAATGTTAAATTTGTGTCTTTGTAGTTTGAACACTTCTTGACTCATGATAACCTTCCATATATAGAAAGAATATAAGTTAATTGCTCGATTAACATAGTCTTCTTTCAACTTCCAAGAATAAAGGAGAAATAAATTTCTCCGAACTTTTGACAGATGCCACATCCACTTTCTACCACTGAGTTGTGATTTCTCAACCAATTATACTTAGTTGAGCTAGATGTGTATAACCAATGGAAAGAACACTTTTTGAAGTACTTCCTCTTAACTGTTATTTTAAAATTGGTGCAAAGAATTATATAGAGAACTAGTGAAGCTGCTCTTAATATTGTTGCTGCTTTGTCCCCACCACTTTAGCATTATTTCTCACCTAGAAATATGTTAATTAGATAGACAACTGCATTGTATTTAGGTTTTAGTTTTATATTTGGCTTAATTATGTATTACTTATGTTTTAAGATGCATATTTGAAAGGTTTAATATTTTTTTTATATAAGCCAATGCCTGCCCACTATATGGTAATGTTGGCCAGGGACACCCACTGACATGTGTTGTGATAAATAACAGAGATAAAGGACAGGAAAGTATAATAATTTATTAAAATAAATTATATGTGAAAATGTAAAGACATTAAAAAAATGTTTTAAAATTATCTCACCATATATTAAAAGGTATGTACATTTTTCCAATATTTTAATTTTAAACATTTCACTGTAATGTACTATAAACCATATAGTGCAAGTTAACAATAATAGCTACAGTTAGTAGTATCACAGAGAAAGTGAAATAAAATGTATAAATATTTAACTCAAATTAAAAAGAACTTATGATATTCACTCTGGAGGTTTTAGGGGTTACGCAAATGAAATTTGAAATCTGCAAGTTTGAAAAAATAATTATTTGTATACTCATGTTGTTTTGTTGGTTGTGCAAGAGGCTACTTGGGTACACTCCTGTAAAGTTAGAATTAAAACAGCCTTTAAAATGTCTGAATATTAACAATGACTATTTCAAAGTATTGGCTGAGCAATTGTACTTATAAAGCTGCCCAAGTCATTATATATGTATTTATGAAGTGAATCAAAATTTCATTATTTCAATATCAACCCCTACCTGTCTTTACAAAATTTTTTTTTTTTTATCATACTTGTACATATTAAAATTCCCACAAAAAAGTTTGTTTATAGCCACTGACAATAGAACTAAATCACAGGCCTTAACTGTGTAAAATTACAAACACAAACACCCTCAAAATTTCAATACTCAATATTCTATGAACTCTACCTACGTATCACTAATACATTTACCTCATTTGGGAGTCAAACTGTAAACATGGCCAATTTTTATCTCATAGTTCTGTGATTTCAAAACATAAGTTATGGATACACTAATCTATAACATCATATAAAATAAAAACACGATTACACTAAGTTCTTTGTCCTACAAACCAGAGTAATTTGTACATTCAGTTGTTACAATAACACAGTAAGATTAACTCTACTACTACGGGCTTAGTGGAATTCACCGAGTTCCTAACCATGGAGTATTCATAACAGTTTCCATACTATAAATTTTAATATATTTTTTTTCACAAAATTTGACAGACTTTCAGTGAACATTATAAGTCTTTTGTACACAAAAAAATCATGTTTTTTGAAGAAGTATTTCTAATAAAAATTTGTCCGTGAAAATGTTCTTTTTTTTTTTACTAGTCTGAGTGCAAAGTGATTTTCATGTTAAGATTAAAAACTTTTGTCTCAAAAATCTCAGATTTCATTTACATAATCTCTAATACCTCCTAACTAAATTTCACTCTATCCAAGGTTTAGATTAGTTTATCCTAAATGTCTTTAAACTCATAACAGTATACATCCATTTCTACTTAAAATTGTATCCTTTTATTACTCTTTGGATCATCCAAGTGTAAATCACTTAGTGAATGTGCATTTCACGTTACATTATTAAATTACATAACACATGAACTACTCATGACTATACCTCATGAAAATTTATTATTATTCTTTATTTTACCAAATCTAATCTAAAAAGTTTCAAATTTTTACATTTTATTTGCTTTTATAATAGTACATAAAAAGTACACATGAAAAACAACAAATAAAGTACTTACATGGGTCTTCTTTTTTTCACCGTTGATAACACTTAATCCTATTTTTTTTTATACTAATGGTAGTACTGCAATAATCATTTTTTATTTAATTAAATAATGCACCAAAGAACACTTCTTCAGAATAATATGCAAAAAGCAAACAATGTCCCATAACTGTCACAATTTTTTTAGCTTTCTAACTATCCAACAAAGGCCGTTAAAAATTCATCTCAGCTCATCACTGTGCTTCCCATGTGAATAAAGCTTGAAGTGAAAGCAAAATTGACAATTTTTTGTACAGAAAACAATGTAATGTAATCCATCATTTGATATATTAAAACCTTGGTTTTATAATGATTATAAGTAACATAGTATTAAAAGTCAGATAGAACTATTGGCAATTTCTTAAAGAGAGGATGTGACAGGTGGACATGGCAAGAAAGGTCTGATTTTCTATTTGATGGCTCTGTAACCAAATAAGATTGAAAACTATGAAAATTATGCTTTGCTTGAGAGAAGATATTATATTGAGTATTTCATGTTAAACTTCATACTTCTTTGAGGGGTGTTAAATAAATTAGAGAAGAAGGGATACCTAGAGAAAAAAATTTACAATTCTCCTACTAGGGGTAATTCAGGATTTTCTTTTAAATATTGCCTTATAAAATTAGTAACGTAAAATATATATACTATTAAAATTTGGATAATTAGCTACATTTACAAGACAAATTTATCCCTATGCCATGATAAGAAAGTAGTTTAATTAAATTTTGAATGTAACTCAATAAAAACCTAGTGACATGCACAGAAAAAAGCACCCATGGCGAGAGGATTAAAATAAAAAGAAATGAATGGCCTCAAGCACCTTTGAAACAAGGTTGTTTAAAATAAACCTTTCAAGTTCCAAAGATTCAGAAGTAATTAACTTTTTTAATACCTACCTAAATGCTGCATCATTCTGTTCTAAAGAAACTTTATCAATGGTCTTGCCTTCAATCGGGTCTATGATTCGAATCACAGAGGCCCACATCCCTGGACCAGCTTTTGGGGCACTAAATGTTGTTTCTGGAAGATTTTCATTCAAAAAAGCTGCAGCCATTTCATTGGCCAAGTCCTGTTCATCGTCCCCAGCTGCTTCAATCATTTCCTAATAAAACAAACTAGTTTTATAGTCTAGACATGATAAAATTTTGTAATTCATTATCAACTTGAGGAACTGGAAAAGCCAAGAAATACATATAAGAATTAATCTTATCCTTCTAACCTCAAAACATACTATTACTAGGATTTAGATCATATAATAAACTAGGCCACCATGAAGAATTCAAGCTAATTTAAATATTGCACCGAAATGAAGATTTATTTTGAGATAGTTTAATTAAATATTTCAATCCATTCGTGTTATTCATAATTCAAGAAATAATATTTGATTGTTCATGGGGAGTAAAAGAAAAGACCATTTCATTTTTCAAAAAAGTGAAGTAAGAAGTTTTGTAAAAAAGCACGAACGGTAGTGTGAATGATTTTTTGACTGAGAAAATAAGCAAACAAACAATCTCAGAATTTTAGTAGTAGATAGATAGATTCTTCAATAAAATTTTGTTGTTGTTCTCGACTTGATTTTTATTTTATAACCTCGTCTCCATAGTTACTATTTGCAAATGGTCAATAATATTGAAGGTCCATTTTATTGTTGTTCTTTCTAAGCGCCGTTATAACACATTTTCATCTCATCATTTAATTTCTGTTGTGCATATATTGTTGTATAAATGAAGTTTTATAATAATGGAATGTATGAAAAATGACCCGAAAAACGGGGCTAACTTGGTAACCAGTGCCCCAGTTTTAACAAAACTTGTTTTATTCTGTTTCTATTCTCATTTCATTATAAATATTGTGCTATTTTGTGCCGTTTTTGCTGTATTTAATTACAGACAAGCAAACACACAAACAATCTCAGAGTTTCAATAGTATATAGATGCCAAAATCTATACAGATAAACTAACATTTAAATAGTTAAACACTGAATATCCAACCCACTATGACAACACAACACACATCAGCCTGAATAACAGGTTAGGTAAAGGAAACCAATACAAATTATGATACAAATTTGATTATAAAGATTTCTTGTTCCAACCTGGGACATCTGTTGTTTTCTTTCCTGTTTGGTTTTTTCTGTATAAGCATTATGGTCAGTTTCAATGAGAATCAGATATCCAGTATCTGGATGAATAACAAATTTTCTGGGTGTATACTCCAAAGGTGTTGAGACTTGGTTAAAGACAGCTCCTAACTTCTCTAAAGCCAAGATCCTTAAAAAACACAATTAAAATAATTAATATATGTGAAATTACTTTAGGGAAAAAAACTGATTCCCTTAACTTCTTAAATACAAATATTAAACATACCTATATATATATATATATATATATATATATATATATATATATATATAATAATACTACTATATATTATTATTACTTACTATATAATAGTAGTACTTCTACGTACTAAACTAAACTTAAACTTAT